CAAATGATCATCTTCATTCACAGACACAAAGCCAAGCCAAAGGCAGGTACTCAACTAGAGGAAGAATGTAGGTTTTTTTCAGGCCAAGTTTGGACTTAACTTTTGTAAAGCTATGCAATTAAAATAAGGTAACAGGAACTGCAGAATCAACTTAAAATCAAGTCCCTTGACTAGATGCATGGCAAATCAGCTCTTTATGGGAGTAAACAGAAAGATCTTACAACGCATTGTATTAACCCACACACTATCTGGAAAGATGAGGATGTTAGAGAGACAGCAAGGATGAAAGATGAGCCTTTTAAACACCTGTAAAAAGCAACAGAGAGTCCTGTGGCACCTTTAAGACTAACAGATGTATTGGAGCATAAACTTTCGTGGGTGAATGCCAACTTCATTGGATGCATCCATCCAACGAAGTGGGCATTCACCCACGAAAGCTTATGCTCCAATACATCTGTTAGTCTTAAAGGTGCCATTGGACTCTCTGTTGCTTTTTACAGATCCAGACTAACGCGGCTACCCCTCTGATATTTTAAACACCTGATAATTAAAAGAGACTATCTCAAACACAAACAGAAGATTATGACACTAGAAGAAACAACACTTCTACATGGACACAATTACTAACCAAAGTTCTTGTATTTAAGTCATAAAATACATAGGAAGAAAAAAAGGATGAGTTAAAAGCAGAACTGTTTTCTAAGCAGACTATTGTTCATAGATTTCCATAATGCAATAGTGGCTGGTTAGCCATGTCCTTTAAAAACGATCATTCTAGATCATAGAACTAAAATGCAGCCACTCTCTGAGTGAGACACACTTTGCTCTGTTTGGAAGTGGGCTGCTGTTTTAAAGAGTTCTGTTTACATTTACTCTGCAAAACATACAGTGAAGTTTAATTAGCATGTGATTGAAAAGTGTTGACGTCTTATGTTCTGTACAGCCAAATGAATTTCCTCATGCTGGGGAATATGTAAATTCCTTGAAGAATTGTTTATTCCACCAGCGAGACTTTTAAGTAATTTTGATTACAAGAATTAAAGTAGACAGCTAAGACAGTTATTTTGAGGATTTAACATAGTTGTGAGACCAAGAGTGTAAATAACTTTTTCAAGGACCTGAAGCAGCCTGTGAAAACAGCTGTACAGATTTATTTTTTTCACTTTATAGAACAGTTGAGTTTAATTGCAGCTTTTGTCCCTTCTCATCCCTAGCAGCAGAAAATAAGATCAATAAGTATAAAAAACTTCCATTCCCTAGCATTGAATATCAACTTTAAAAAAATAATACAAGACTTTGGGCCTTTGCTTTACAAAAGTATAAAACCACTTAGAGATTACAAGACTTGGAAAGATTATTCTGTTCATCTAGTCTGACCTCCTGTATAACACAGGCCATTGGGCTTCCTTTGAAGTGTTGTTGTAGCTAGGTTGGTCCCAGGATATGAGAGAGACAAGGTAGGTAAGGTAATATATATTGTTGGAACAACTTCTGTTGGTGGAAGGTACACGCTGTTGAGCTACACAGAACTGAGGAAGAGATCTGCGTGGCTTGAAAGCTTGTATCTTCCACCAACAGAAGTTGTTCCAATAAAAGATATTACCTCACCTACCTTGTCTCTCTCATGATTGCTTCTTCGATTGGTTTGTCTTGAAAAAAAAAAACCCAGTTAACTGTATTTTTAAACCACTTTCCTATTGGGACTGGTTCACATTTTAGGTGAAGGCTCATTCACTTTTTAATCTGAACCGTATTGCCCCTTCCAAATCAATTTATATTTTATTTTAACTGGAGATGGGGTCCAGGTGAAAAATTCTGATTTGGATCCAGAGTTTGAATTCAACAAAGTTTAGGGGTTTGGTTCCGACCATGAAGAAAAAGTTTGGGTTAGGATTAAGACCAGTATCCAAAAATTAGTTGCATTTGGATCCAGAATTTGGGGTCAAATGTACCTCAGTCAAATATGATTATTTTAAAAATCACATTTATTAGGAAAAGTGTTTTATGCTGAGTAAGAAGAGGCTTGGAGATGTTTTTCATAATATTCCAAAGTGGTTTAATTGTACCATCATTGCTACTGATGGACTGAAGTTTTGATTAAGAAGAATAGGGCCACGCTAATATCCTGTGCAACTCCAACTACATCAGGGATGAAATTGGCCCAGTGGTGCTGAGCAGACCCAAATGAAACCTTCCAGTCAGTTATCATAGGGGAGGGCAGGAGAGAGGGAGAGAGAGAGGGAGAGAGAAAGAACAGATGTTGCCTCATTATTCACTGGGAACTTGTTTATTTTTCCTAACATCAAACAATTATGGAGACTTCAGCTGTTGTTAAGGTGGCTTTAATTTAATTGACTATATAATTACATAGAAATGTTACTTTGGAGTAGGATTACTCTTTGAAAAATTAAGAAAATCTACATGGTGGCGGATGCATGTTTCACTTTCTATTCCAGTAGCACGTCTATATAAATGAGTAGCATTGCTTTGGAAACAATTGTAATAAACCTGCATGTGTTTTCATGGATGTGACTGTGAGAGCAACACTGACTACTTCTGCCCTCTGGGAATCCCACATCTGCTATTGGATATACTCATAAGCAGCCTGGAAGATCCTACCACAATCACCTCATGCTCCTGTACTCCCTGTATGTCTATACTGCAGCTGGACAAGTGTGCTAAAAATAGCTGTGTGGACATTGTGTGCCCACCTGACTCCCCTCAGTTTGACAGCCTGAGTCATAACATCCACAAGACTAATTGTACCATGCTAGCTTGAGCCTTGCTAGTATCAGTCTGTCTGTCTGGGCCAGGAGGCTGACTCCCAGCTGCAGTGCAGACATGTCCGATAACTGATGCCCCATACACTGCCTCTGCACTTGTCTGTACTCGGGTCCTGATTCTCATTTACATTAAGGCCACTTTACACTACACTAGCAGTGTAACCAGGCCTTAATGTGGGTCCATATTACACCCATTTTAACACCTTCCTGTAAAGTGGTCTTAGTGTAAATGAGAATCAGGTGCTAAGTGTTAGAGTGACAGAGGGACACTCTACCCACACTTATGCCCCCTAACCTTAGCTGTCCTACCCCATGCCAACATGGGGCAGTATTGCAGTAGGTTTTCTGCTAAGTATAGGTATCAGTAGAGAGATTCCCCATGGACAGATGGGGGGAACCTAATGTTCCCTAGGTAGGGGGTGGGTTGTCCTCATGCTCTCTAAACACAATTTTGTATGGGGTGACCCTTCTCAAAAGAGAGGAGAAAACAAAGGGAGAAAATAATTATTTCAAATGGGATTTAAACCTACTACTTTCCATGGGGATTGTCTGCTACTAGTTCACACTCCACTGCTGGGCACCACCTAAGTATCTTGGGTGCCTAACCCATCTGATTTGCACCCACAGCATATGCATGAAATACCAGGAGAGGAGCAATGAAGGCTGCTGTCATGCTACCATTCATGAAGACACTTTAGTAACATCCCTGTTATTTTCAGGCTCCGAGACACTTATGCAGAAGAAAAAGCTACTGTATATGTATGTGAGATCAAACGCTTCTTTTGGATGTACTGGTTGACTTCAACTTTGCACAAGAGGGAACAAAATTTAAGCACGCCCCTGGGCAACATTTCACCACTTCTGAAATGCAGTTTTTTTACCATGAGCGGGAGAGATCAATACAGTAGTGCCCAGCTAACATCCGAGTCTATCCTAAGAGAAGTGCTGTAACTATAAACACATTGCACTGGCATGTCTAAATTACTTTAAAATGCAAGGTGAAATTACAGAATGTGTCTGGGGAATGAACTTGGTCCTGATGAAGCCAGTGGGATTCTTGCCATTAACTTCAAAGGGAGCAGTAAAGTATCCAATTGTTATAACACATTTGAAGACAATTTGTTGTTGGGGAGCCACTGATGCTAAACAATATGTTCAATGAAGTATCTATAACTGTTACCTTGATTTAAAAATTTTACCTTATCACCCTGTGAAAGAGAAACAGATTATGGCGTTGCCATGGTTTTGTTGTATATTTTATAATACACCGTGCTGCAAATCTATTTGTTTTTCTCTCTGTTTGTTTGAGTTCATTGATATAAGAAGTGGGGTGAAGGGAGGATGATTCTTTACAAATGGCTGAAGACTGAATGTTGAGCTTCATTCTCATCCGAGGCTTGCAACATTTCTTTACACTATATTAAATACATGGAACAGTCTTTGTTTTGGAATGAATTAATCGTGTAGGCCTATAGCTGGTTGCAACTATATAATGAATTTGCAGAGAACTGAGTGCTTAACTCAGTGAGTCACTTTTCTATCTATACTTGCCCAATTGTAATGAATACATTTTAGTAGCTTGTTCTCAATTAGTCTATTTGTCAGTTTAGCTATAGGTAATCATAATAGAATAAAAAATGAAAAACCATTGAAAAAATAATTTAAACGAGCACATAGTAAAAAAAATGTAAGTAAGACAAATGTTTAAGCTGAAAACTACTGAAAAAATACTGTGTAAGTATTCAAATCACTAGGAATTTCTCACACAGGAATAATTCTTTAAAACATGATTTCTGGGATGAACATCTCATAGTAAATCCTGATCCTTAACTACTTGTTGACATCCAGACCACACAAGTTGTACATTCATTTTTATGATTTGGGCATTTGGCTTATTGCTGCCACATGCTGCACAATAAACGCACCCTATGCAATTTCTATTATACATACGCAAAGAAGAGATAGGATGGAGGGGAGAGAAATCAGTGATGGGCTGAGTATCCTGGGGTTTAAATATATGCACAAATTTGGGTGGGAAAAGCCAACCATTTTTAATTATTATTTTGGCCCAACAATGCAATAGCTGAACATGACAGATTTATGCATGAGGATGGAGGAGATACATTCACTGGCTGGGCACATCAATCATACAATAGTTGGCAAAACAAATGTTAAAACAGGCATATCACTCTCAGATTCCAGCTATCCTACCTCTGTCTATGTTCCTGTCAGACCTCACAAGCAAATCAGGCCTGGGACTAGGTAAGGAGATCCAAGGCAAAACGAAGACACAGGAAGTGGTGTTGAATCAGTTTGTGCCTCTCTTTCTTCAGAGTTAGTGCAAAACCATATGGCCCTCATATGATGTCAGGGTGACACTCTAATGACTGTTGTGATGGTTCTGGGAGGAGACATAAAACCAGACTCTTGACCCTTTGACTTCATTAAAGATCCCATAGCACTTTTCATAACTTTTGGGAGCATCTGACCTGATGTCCTAGGTGAACTCTGGCTGAGGATTATGACTTTTTGACAGTCCTGCTAGGAGAGCAGGGTGAATCATTCATATTTAATAATTTATTGGACCATTTTCATCAGTTTTCTTGTATTCCGAAATTGTCCATGAACAGATCATGCTATTATCAGATCTCTTCAATATTCCAAACGTTTGGCTGAATAATATCAGCAAAAAACAAAACAAAACAAAAAAACCCAACACCCCCCCCTTTTTCTCTGTAGTTTATTAGTGCACCTATTTCTATTACAGGGAGCCCCAGCTGAGGCTAGGATTCTATGTGCACAAGCACGTAATAAGAAACAGTGGCTGCTCTGAGGAGCTTACAATCGATCGGCAGAAAACAGACAAAGGATGAGAGAAAGAAGGAATTATTATCCCCATTTTACAGATAGGGAACTGAGGAACAGAGAAATTAAGGGACTTGAATTCAAAATCAATGGGAGAATATTTAGTCTCTGTGTGCCTCAGTTCCCCATGTGTACAATGGGATAATAGCACATCCCTACCTCATGGGGGAGCTGTAAGGATAAATACATCAAAAACTGTGAAGCACTGAGATACTGCAGTAAGAGGCCATATAAGAAACTAAGAAAGGTAGATAGCGTTGTCTCCAAGTGTCTTATTTGAAGGAATTAACATTGTTTATCCCAGGAGACATTCGTAACCTTAAAGGATTGCTCCTTTCTTAGGCACAAATGAGAATGCTGTATGGAGTGCCATTTTCACAGAAGACAAAAATAATTCTCCAAGGAAGCACACTGAAGAGCACCCTTGCTCTTCCCTCAACAAGGAGCAGATAGTGGTTGATAACAGAGACCATATAATGAGCAAGTGAAGACTATTATTGTTAATTATTTATGCCTCACCCAAAGTGTACTTGGGGTGAAATCCTGGCCCTAATGAAATGATGGTACTTTTTCCACTGAATTCAATAAGGGCAAAATTTCACCCTTGAAGTGCTATAGTTACTCATCCAGTGAGAGGAATCAATCCTGCTTTCAAATACCTGAATCTTTCATAGAACTTGCTAGCTCTTGTTTTTTTGTTTATTCAAAGTGATGATAAGAGATTTTACTATTAACCTTGCACTTATATGTTGTCCAGTTGGTTGAAATGGCACAATGCTGACCTTCTATCTTCAAAATGGGCTCCCCACAAAACCGAGCAACTGAAAAGCCTCTTGCAACCTGATATATTACTAACCTAGCCTTTTCACTATGGATGGACAATTAAATTTGGATAACATAACTCAGCCCAAGATTCTGCCCAGAGGTCAAGATAAACCCAAGCCAAACCTTTTTGGAGGGTTGGAAAATTTCTGTTGACTTTTGTATTTAACAAAATTAACAATAATAATATCCTCATACTGTACTTCTGCTTCTGGTTTCCAGCTGGAACTGAAAGTTGAAATGCCTAAATATCATAAGACTGTCTGTCTGCAAGCAAGAATGTTTAGAAATCTCAAAAGAAAATAAGGGAATTTTCCAGCCCAATATTGCAGATTCAAGACTTTGGAATAAACATCCAAATGCCAGGATACTTACCCAAATTTCTAAGGACTGTTCTCTCATAGTTAGCCCTGCATGATTCCTTGCATAAATTTGCATGTGCTTAATTTAGGCACATAGATACACTGATATGTTCACTCAGATCAGAGTTTTGCATGGAAACTTGTTGAGGGATTTCCTATGTAGTTATACATGTGCAAATACTTGACCTTTATGAATGTGCCATGTATTTGAGGTATGTGCGTGCCTAGCTTTGGAAATCTGGCCCTAAAGAATTTCCCATTGCTACTTTTTACCATTAATTATTTCCTTACTGGAGAAAAACAGTTTAATTGATTAAGATTCAACCAAATTTACAACAAATTTATCACATTTCCCCTTTGCACATGTTTTTTCCCCTCACCGTTTGGCTTTACAAGCTCTATAGCCGGGGTGATCTTTAATGAAGATGCTTCAGCCGCCACTTTAATCTTAACTATGTTAAACCCCAGGAAAACTAAATAACAAAGAAGAGTGTTGGATTCCAAGAGCATTAACACGAACGCTAAGGACTAAGTAAAGTAAGAAACAAGCTGAGCCCAATGAAAACAGCAATTACTTTAACCAATAATAAAAGTAAAACAGTTTGTGGGAGTGAATGGAAGCATTGTTGAAATCATAATGACCATCCAGGGAAATGGAAAAAAACAACAACAGCTTAGGATGGTTTACCTCTAAGTAAATAGAATGCTTTTCCTTGGATACTTGGGTTTCTGCTGACTTCTATGGTGTAATCTAAAATAACCAAATAAGCAAGATCAACAACAAAAAAAAGACCATTTACTTGAGTCAAACATATTTCAGGAACTGGTATTTGACAGTGGGGTTAATAAAAGATTCTGTGAACAGATGGGATCTTGTAAAACAGCAGTGGGTTACTCTAGTAGGAATAAATTGTTTGGAAAAAATGGTTTCACTGGTTTTGAAGGATATGATGTAAAAAATCTGCATAGCATCAGCAGTGCTTTCTGGTATATTCCAAATTCTACCTTCAGTTGCATACATGCAGCCCTAATTTAAGTTAATGGGTCAGATTCTGACCTCAGTTACCCAGGTGTAAACCAAAGTAATGCCAGGGGACTCTTATTTTTGATTCATAGTCTTGCCAAATGCAAGTCTGAGAGCAGTTGATGTTATGACTATTTCCAACTTCACTTTTGCCAGATGATTTCCTGCTTCTCTTCCATCCTCAACAACATATTAAAGTGGAGTCAACACTTACCCTTCATTTGTTGGTACTGCACATTTGTCCGAGACTTGCCCTCCATGCCATTCTTTTTTACAACCACGTTTTTTTGTGGGAATACAGGGCATCCTCAGAGAGCTGATGCATTTCAAATAAGGATGGGAAGCAATCAGGATTAAAATTCTTTATTGAAGTAAGATCACACAACTGCCTTTCATCTTGTTTTTCTCCTCCCTTATTCTGACCCCCTTCCTTAAGTTCCCTATACTACTTTCAAGATGTAGTACATCTATTCTAGTGTTTTTATATTCAAGAGGCTGGAGCTAGTGATTCTCCATGGATTAGCTAGTTGGACTTCAACATCCTGACACCAAATAGGGAGCATAAGAAACCAATAAACAATGTAAGACACACCTTTTAGTAGGAAATATTTTCCCTCTAATCTGTTTCAAGAGTCAGCATTTTTGAGTAAAATCCAGAGGTCTGTTGGGATCTGAAAATGCAGGATGTTTCTTGCAAAGAGGAATGTGTAAGAGGTATAATATGGGACTGGACAGTAAAGCAAATTAAGCTCTTCCCTTGCAACTACTCAGAGATTAGATGCAGAACTTCCATGGCAACCTCACCCTTATAAAATATCTTACATTATTATTATTATTATTAGTTATATTTCACTAGCTCTTAGATGTGCCAATCAGGATCAGATCTCCAATGTGCTAGATGCCGGCAGACCATAGGAGACAGTCCCCGCTCTGATAATGGTTTGAAAAATTGCAGCATACAATTTTGGTACTACAGTGTTTTTGGCAACTACTGTAGAATTCTGCATTTCCTTTTCTACATAAAGTCAGTAGCAAAAAGTCTGTAACATGCCAGATTATAATGTCACATATCTGGTGGAACCGTGGCAGGCAGGGCCGGCTCTGGCTTTTTTGCCACCCCAAACAAAAAAAACAAAAAAACGTGAACAGAATGGCAAAGCAAAAAAAAAAAAAACCTAGTGGCGTGGCCGGAGCGACAAAGCAGGAAAAAGAAAAAAGCCAGGGTGCAGGGGGGCAGACGTGCCCCGGCTAGCGGTGGGGAAGGGGAGGGAGTGGGAGGAGAGAGAGAAAGGGCTTCAGCAGGTTGTTCGCCACGCGGCCCCAACCACCGCGCCGCCTGCCGGGAGGGCTCCGCGCCGCTCCGGTCGGCGGGGAGAGAAGGATGCAGGCTGCCCTGCCAAGCTTGCTACAGACCTGGCACTGGCAGATGGAGCATGCAGCCCTCTCCCAGCAGGATCGGCGAACAACAACAACAAAAAAAGTGGCCATGCCGCCCTAGGATTGGATGGAATGCCGCCCCGTAGAATCTGCCGCCCTAAGCACCAGCTTGCTTGGCTGGTGCCTGGAGCCGGCCCTGGTGGCAGGGAATGAAGCTGTTCCTTTTCTCCCATTGGTCTTGCTTGCCTACAGTATGTATCACTTAATCACAATAAATTTGATTCTCATCTCATGTACACGTACATAAATCAGGAGTAACCTTCCTGCAGTCAATGGAATTCCTGAATTCATGTGAATTAAGCCCAATATTTGAACCTTCTGGAATATTTGACATAAAATCTCAGTATAGAATGTTACATCTGATATAATGTATTCAATGTCCAACCACTTCTTTTATTTAGAAATAACCATTTTAAAAGGGAAATGCATATTTTAAAGTTTGTATTTGCCCTCCTTATTTTGTGCATTTATGGCATCATAAGATTAACTCAGCTACCTTCCATTACAGCTAAACTTCTGCATGCAAGTCATTGGAATCTCCTTCGGGCATACAAATCTGCCAGTAGCCCATGACACTTTCTTCTTGGTGATTTGAGTTTAAACTAAGGCTGAAAAATCTAGAGAGAGCCCCCTTTTGGTTTAAATTCTCAAGCCTATATTGTGTTTCTGTCATCAGAATGATTCTAAGAGGGACTAATTAAAAGTCCAATGAATGTGTGAGGGTTAAACTCAGGCTCTGCTCATTAACAGTCATTCATCTAAGAATATTTTGAGATAATTCTTTTTTGTGATGGGAAGGAAAGGAATAAGACAAGACATCGATTTAAGAACATATTTTACTAGACGAATACAAATTTCTGTTCTATTACTGGCTGTACATTGATGACAATATCTAATTTAATGAGAAGATTCTGCCCCCTTTCGCCGTGTTTCTTCTTGCAAAATAACAAAACAAAACAAAACAAAAAAATCACTAATGAACACCCCCTTCCCCCAAGAAATAAGGAAAATCAGAACCATTTTGTTAATTGTCTTTTTCCTGCTGTTTCCATGGTAATACTGGCTACTAGACTTCTCTGCAGAGTGACAGTCCAACAATTCACACACTACACCCTTTCAGGCACAATGAATGGCTGTGAAAGAGGCAGAACAGGCACTATTCAGGAAACATGTGATATCTACTCAATGCACTACCTTTCATCCACATTTTCCAAATTGCAGTTAATTTAATTCTAAACAAATGGCTAAGGGGTACAAATGAGGATTAGAAGGAAAAGAACATCTTGAGTTCTAATGGGGACGGTTTGTGTGAAGAACAATATAGCACTTTCTTCTGATGCCAAGACTGCTGGATTGAAAGATGCACTTTCCCTCTTCTTCTGAGGCCTTCATTTAGACTCTATATCAACAGTGAAAAAAACGTGGCAGAAAATTATTTGGGTGTGCACAGTTTATATAGAATTTTTCTTTCCATTTGGAAACATATTTGATACATTAAGGACTAATCTTAATTTTCTTCAAACTAAGAATAAACCTTCTACATTTTTCAGTCAGCAATTGCTTACAAGATAACTTGCCTGGCCAGATCTCTTTTTTGGTCACTTAGTAGTTTGTTCTCTTTCTCACAAGTTATTGTTTGTTCCTATAGAAATAGCAATGGGAAATACTATCTGGTCACCTTGAGAAATAACAACAGACCTCTTGAGAACAGCAAAGCCCAGAAGGAAATTATTATTCTCATTAGATTCAATGACAGCAAGTCCTTTTGCTCATGTGACTGTTTTTATTTTGATAGATAAAGAACAGTGGCTTTACCCAAAACTGATCAAGCAAACATCTTGAATGTTGTCATATTCTGTCAAAAATCAGCTGACACATTTTAATAGATTTGGTACTTTTGTGGATGAAATCACAAGGGAAAGTAGTGCATAAAATCTACTATGGATTACTTCATTTTCTATACACAGTGCAGTGAATACTAGGAAACCTGAACAAGTTTTAGAACAGAAAAAAAGAAAAGAAAAAATCAATAGCAATTTAGCTTTAAGACTGTTTGTTTATGCACTTTTACTTTCTTTTTTTTCTTTGATACCAAATGCAACTATGATTCTTTAGAAAGAATAATTCTTAGTTGTAACAACTTCATTGCACCTCTAGAATTTCCTGATCAATATAGTCAAAATAGCACTCCAGAAATGAACAGAAGACTAACTATTAGTGTTCTGCTTTTAAAGTTCTTCTTAATTCTGTCTATACGAATACTTGAACTGTAACCACTGCTAGCCACTTGTCAGCCATTTCTCCAGAAGAAACAACATGCATTCCTTCAATGTAAATAAAGAACAATCCAGAGAGAGATGAACAAAGAGAGGTTAAAATTATCATAGAAGTGGTCAAATTTTAGGAGGCCAAAAATGTCATACTCAACTAACTAAAATAAAAATGGTTTGATTTTCAGATGTGCTGATCAGCTGTCATTCCCCAACACCCTGACTGCTTCACCCAGTCAGAACTCCCTTGACTTCACATGTGCTTTATCTGGTTATAGCAGCTTGTCTGTTTGCTATACTCTGAAGGACTGGGGCCTATAGTCAACCATTTTTAAGTGACTAACTGCAGATATAGAGTAGGTGCCTAATGTAACTACCCCTGACTATTTTTGTCATAGTCCTTTGTGTTTGTAAACTGATATTGGTGTGCTTTCTTACCAGGATGCTACGCATAAATAGAATTGATTCATAAATCAATTACCAATATAAATTAATAAATGACATGTAGACGTACCAGTATATCAGCTCTTTGCTGAGATCGAATACCAACACAGTGCTAAAGTGTACTCTGAGTACTGACTTACCACAGTGATCCAAATCCTTGTCACCTTTGAGAACTACTCAGAAACTTCACATTGGGCATACTGGGTCAGCCTGCTTGCTTAGAGGTCCATTGTCTACTCCTCCGTTTTGTTGTCTATTCTGGCTTCAGTTGATTTATGGGTGCAATTCAAGAGTTTTGCCCAAGTTCAGAAAAGCATCTTTATTCAGGGCAGCACTTAAACGTGTGCTTAAATGAAAGAACACCCGGAAGGGCTTTGCTGAATATGGATAGGCCTAAGCATGTGCTTAACGGCTTTCCTGAATCAGGATCTTAGATATTAACATATTTAGCTCAGGCTGGACTGGTATCTCCGTAGGGATGGGTGAAAGGGATAGCACTATTACTGACATCAGAAGTCAATATTTGCCAAAGGATTACACACTTTTATCACAGTTATTTCCTATTCCAGTACAGAGGAAAACAGAGGAGCTGCTGGCAAATGCTTACTTTTTAATGCTAATAGCCCCTCAGCCTTAAAAAAATGTCTCTAAAGTGCACTTCTATATCTTTTATACTATAGGTTTACTTAGGCTATGTCTATTCTGCAAGTGCTACAGCTACACAGCTATTTCACTGCATGTGGACACTTGCTATAGCAACAAAAGGATTTTTTTCCAAAGCAGTAGTAAATCCACTCCGCAAGAGGCAGTCACTAGGTTTGCAGCAGAATTCTTCCATCAGCTTAGCTGTGGCTGTACCGAGGTTTAGGTCGGGCTTAACTATGATTCTCAGGGATGTGCATTTTTCACGTCCCTATTCAATACAGCTAGGTTGACCTAAGCTTAGGTGTAGACCATTCCTTGGATAGCAGGTCTGGGCAAATCCTTGAAAAGTGTGTGTGTGTGTGTGGTGGAGGGAGGGGAATGCTACAATTATTTCCCTCAGTCTGGATCTCCATCTATTTCCTCCTCTTGTATTTAGGTCCAAACAAATGCACAACCTAAAGGTAAAATTCAGACAAACTTGCTGAATTTCATCCATTAAAGCCAAAGAGAAGCCACAAATGTGACACGGTTTCAAAGGAAAGTGTTAAACTGGCCTCTGTTCTCTTGAAACTGGGTTCAGGCTTGTTCAAAAGTTAACCTTTCAGATGAGTTTAGGCTATCTAACTTTTCAACAAATTTTGAGTTTGTAACGAAATCTGAAAGCAGGCAAATATCATGAGTCTTTTGAGTATCATAAAAACATCATAAGAGGTTTGTAAGGTTTGCGAACCTCTTATGCCTTTTTTACCTTAATGTTGAAATCACCCATATAAATTCACACATCAAATCAGCAATAAAACCAATAAGTGACTGAATTCTCCACACCTCCGATGAGGCATTGAGTTCTTTTTAGCTCTGATTTTTTCGGGATCAGGCCCCAATAAGATTCACCAGACAGCTTAGTGGTTTGACATGCAGCCTCGATATTTGCTTCCATTTGCACTATGGCTCCTTTACGCTTAACGAAATGACAGACAAATTTCACCCTCTACAAGTCATATCCATATTAATGTACAGATCAGTAGATAGGGATATCATTATTG